ATATTTGATGTGATGAGGTGCTGTTTGTTTTTTCTGATGCAAAATGTCTGCAGTCTGCGGACCATATCTGTAGACCTCTGCATTAGAAGAGGTGGATCAAACGTCTCCAGTCTGAAAAAAGAAGACTGTTTGTTTTTTTAACATCTGCGGGCTACTAAAATAAACTGAAATCTAAATGAACTGAATTTTTTAAACTTCAAAGTGATTTTTTAATATTTTTATGACTTTGTTATAAATAATTAACAAATCTAGATTAACTTTTATTTATTATTGTATAAAAAATAAAAATAAAAATAAAAATGGTATGAATTAACGTATATATTTGATAAAAACCAACAACTTTGGTTGCAAAGTTATAACTAAACATTATAATTAGGGATCAAAGAATTTGATACATAAATGGATGGAAATAAACTTCGATTTTTTCAATTAAATCCATTAAAAACGTATCATAAATATTTTCTCGAGAAATTGACGATACCGTATTAAATAATGTTTTACAAAATTTGGCAAAAAAATATAAGAATATATTATGATTTTTTTTCATATTTATATAAACAACTTCAACGACTATTATTGTAATAAATCTTTATTTATAAATTTGTCAAAAATATCATATTTGTATCGTCGAACGTTTTTTTTTTTTTTAAAAGTTTTGTAATTTTTTTTCAAATTGTTTATCATTAATAAAGTTGGAAAAAATATAAATAAAAAAAACTTAAAAAAATGAAGATATATGTGTTTTTTTTAAGCTAGAAGATGTCTGAAGATGTTAGAAGACTCTGGTCCACATCTGCGCCAAGAAGAGGGCGCACAGACATTTTTAGGTCTGCAGTCTTCAAAAAAACAAACAATCTGCGAAGGCTAATGTCTGCGCGTGGTCTGCGCGGTGCAGACAGAAGAGGCCACGCAGATCTGCGGACAAAAAACAAACACCACCTAAATGTCTAACTACTTTTTAGAATATTTTGACCAACAAGTCCTTTTTTCTTATTTCACATTTATTTTTTAATAATATAATGTTCAATATAGTGTTCAAAAATATAAAACGATTAAAGCTGCAAATCTTTTTCATGCTACTTAAATGTCGCCTCACTAACCCAATTTGTTTTTAATACAACTTCACTATATTTTAAAAAATCGTTTAAAGTTATATGTAAGGCTATTAATGGTATCCGTTGTAGTTGATATATTTAATAAATTAAAAAGAATGAAATTGATGAAAAATAATGATGAAAATGTATAGGCTAAAGTTTGTAATTGCAAATGATATGAAAAAACTTTTAATTAGAAAACCTCGAGAAGTTATTTCTAAAGCTTATTTACGCAAAAACTCACATCATGACACTCATTAAATTGAAAGAAAATTATAAGAGCGGCGGTATGATAGATTAGATGCGGAATGTCTTAAGTATCGTCAGTACTTAAAAAAAACGTAATTTCGTCCTTAGACCGCTCGGAGTGGGCAACGCCAAAGGGCGTTATGCTGACTTAGCCATCAAAAAACACTGGTATAACGGCTGGCACACCGCCCCACTTAGCCGTTATACCGCGTTACGTTACGAGGCGTTTTGGTGATAACAGGTGCAAACGGGCATTTTTCGATTCAAAATTAATTTTCAACGGCACAATTTTAGTTTTCAACCGTTGTAAAACGGTCAAAAACATAAAAAAAACAAAAAATCAATCATTTTACCTCTTTTACACCTATATATATACATATACATCTACCTTTATTTTTTACCTACAATCTTATATCAAACCTTTTTAATTTCAAATCTTCAAAAAATTTCTCTTTTCATTACTATGGATCAAAACCCCAACACTCCTCCTCCAAATACAAATACACCTCCGCCTCTCGGTTTTGCACAATACGAAATGTACGCGAACATCCTCAACACTCAAGACAACTTTTTCAATCCCGGCTCACCCCCACCACATTTCACTACAACCCTTCCACAAAACCTTTTCAACCCATTTGCTACAATGCAACAAAATACCCCACAACCACCACCCACCCAACAAACGGTACCCGAGACGCAAGCGGGGGGGGGGAACGAAAAAAAAACGGCCCAAAAAGGGAGAGCACGAAGGAAAGGGAAAGCGGTTGCGGTGGACCAATCAGAAGACGAACCTCCAACATGGTGGACCGCGGAGGAGGAATACGCGTTGGCGGTGGGTTGGTGCGGGACATCAAAAATCCAACGCAAGGAAACGATATGCGAAAGGTTGCTTTTTGGGAAGCCGTGATCGTCAAATTTCGTACCATGTTGAAGAAAGATGAAAAGTACCGCAATCACGACATGTTGAGTAGCAAATGGACTCAAATAAGCAAGAAATGCACCAAGTTCAATTCTATCCATAACAAACTTTCCTCGCACAAGCAAGGTGGTGCGACCGATTTTGACGTTTATAGAGCGGTGAGGGAACAATATCATGTCGAGACCGGTCACGTTTTTTAGCACAAAAAAATTTGGGTGATTGTCAAGGAAGACCCAAAGTGGAATAAAACGGACACATTTACGGAACAACAATCGAAGAGGTCGTGCGACTCGGGTTCGGTCGATGTTTCGGACGCACGCACAAACATCGACCTCAATGCGGACACGGATGAGATACCGGACGACTTGAACAACCTTGAAGAGATCTCCCCGCTTCGATGACCGATAGGCCGCGACAAAGCGAGACGTGCTCAACGAAACACGGATGAAGCCGAAAGTAGACGTCGAGAGCAAGCCGAAATGAAACAAAAATTTGACGAGCACAACGAAATCGCGCATAAAAGATATGAGTTGCAACAAGATCATTTTGAGTTCCTGCGTCGTGAAGCCGAGGACGATCGTTTTGCGAAAGATTTGGCAATTCTTCAAACTAGCAAGGAGAATTTGCCACCGAGACGGTTGGAGACACTTCGAAAAATGAAGGCGAAGATTGAGCAGAAATATTTAGACCAAGATTAGTGTTTTTTTTTCGTTGTAATGTTTTTTTTTGTCAATGTTTTTTTTTTTTTCGGTCTATGTTTTTTTCGTTGTAATGTCGTTTATGTTTTTTTCGTTGTAATGTAGTTTTTAATTAGTATTTATTTTAATTATGTGTTATTTAATTTATATGTTTTTTAAAAATTATTATGACATAAATTAAAAAAATAAAACAAGATAAAAAAATGAAAATTACAAACATCAAAAAAAAAAAAAAATAGAAAATGATAGTTGTTATTACATGTTATTTGGTGTTGTCCATTTCCACTTTGTGTGTTATAACACCAAAAGTATGAGTAGGATGATGAGGTGGATACTTTGGGTGTGATAATATGTAATGACGGAGCAGGGGTTCATATTTCATAAAATAATAATATGAAATATATAATAATAATAATAATGATACAAATAGAAAGAAAGGTATCAATGACGGAGTAGGGGTTCATATTTCATAAAATTGATTATCCCTGAACTTGTGTATTGCTATTAAGGCTGCTGGGTGTGGGCAGCATGTTATTACATATTATCACACCCAAAGTATATATATATATATATATATATATATATATATATATATTAAAGTTGTGGAAGAAAGGAATAGTGAAGTTGACATACTTTGTCCAGGTTTGGTCCCTTGATTTACATATCATATCCGGTCCATGTACTTCTTTAATTAATTTATTCATGTTCTTTTGTTTGTGTTCCATTCAACTTCCCATTTTTTTGGCAGAATTGATCCCTGTATTATTGTTCGAAGTTAGGAATACTAAATTTGGATGTTTTTTGGCAACTTTGCTCATTATTCTTTACCTATTTTGACACTTTTGGTCCTTGCAATCAATATTTTTACACTTTTTTGGAACCTTTTAATATTTAAAGTTTGGCCACAAAACTTTAACGGTTTGACAACTTTGATCCCTTTTCTAAAAAGTTGCTAATTCCTACCCCTTTAATTCTTTAGCCATTTTCACACTTCTGGTCCTTGCAGTCAAAACTTTTACATTTTTTGTCCGGGGCAAAGCCCAGACTTTTCATCCTTGCACTTTCTATGTCTGTCATATTTATCAATTCGGAAACAACATTGAAAGCTTCTGGCCCCCGCATAGCGGGGTAACCTTTCTAGTGTATTATTAATTATATCAAAATGTATGAGTTGAGAGAGATGAATTTTTATATATTATGTTAGGGAGACGTTTGAAAGTGAGAGTTGAAAAAAATATTGATATGATGATTATAAAGCATTTGGATTGAAAGAGATGAAATGAATAGACTTTTTCCATCTTAAGAATCAAATAGATAGATATTTGTATTTAAACGAATAAAACTCAATATTTTTATTGTTTTTATATTGGGAAATCAGATATTCTTTTATTTTATTTTTAGTCATTAAATCAAAACAAATATTAAAATCAAAATAAATAATTAATAAAGATAATTAGTGGATACCATAACTTAATAGGTAAATAAATAGGAAAGAAATGGAAAAATATTTTTTTGTTATATACTTTTATAATAGCATTATTATATAATATAATATAAGTTATAAATTATAAAATAATATAATATAAAATAACTTGTTTCTGTGCTGATTTCCGTTGCAAACCAAAACCCTCTCACATCAAAGCACCCCTCTCTTCTGTATCTTCACCATGTGAAAGTGAAACCCCCTTAATTTACAAATTACAGCCCCTCCCTCTTCATCTCTCTAGTTCTGTACACACACCGCGGCACATACTTCGATATACTCTCATATATACGTATATACATATACGTATCAACCGATTGTAGTCATCATCTTCAGCTTGATTCAGGGGAGTGTGCAAGCTGGCACCATTGCATGCTCTCCCAAGAAACTTTACTCTTTAAAACCCCAATTCATTTTCCTAAACTTTTCACTCTAATTTCTTAATTTTGCTGTTGTGGGTTTTGTCGGTTTAGGTTTGATTTCGTAGATCTGTCGCTTTTGTGCCCTGAATCTGGCCCTAATATGAAACTGGTTCAAAAAGATTCAGAGAAGATCATATGGGATCAGATGAGAACCCACGCTTCGAACAATACATCACCCATTTTGTCAAATCGGGTCGGCAGTGGGTTACCCAAGCTTATGCTGTATCTTATCTCTTTCGTCTGTGCAACTTACCTTGTTTACACTCTCAAGCTTCTCAACACCCCTAATTTGCCTTGTGGCGAACATGATTTGATATTTTCTTCTCGTGCTTCGTCACAGAACGTTACGCTTACGCCGGCGATCGTTGCACCGGAGAAAACGGAGCTCAAACACATAGTTTTTGGCATTGCAGCGTCGGCAAAGCTCTGGGAGAAACGGAAGAATTACATCAAGTTGTGGTGGAAGAAAGAGGCGAAAATGAGGGGGATTGTGTGGTTAGACAACCCAGTCAAAACCCAACCTGATGATGGTCTGCCGCCGTTAAAAATTTCCGGCGATACCGCGCATTTTGCTTATAAGAACAAACAGGGTCACCGGTCGGCGATTCGGATATCCAGGATTATTTCGGAGACGATACGATTAGGGATGGATAATGTAAGGTGGTTTGTAATGGGGGACGATGACACAGTGTTCATTACTGATAATCTTGTTAGGGTTTTGAACAAGTACGATCACAATCAATATTACTACATCGGAAGCTTGTCGGAAAGTCATCTCCAGAACATATACTTCAGCTACGGCATGGCGTACGGCGGCGGCGGTTTCGCTATCAGCTATCCCTTAGCTAAAGCTCTGGAGAAGATGCAAGATCGGTGTATTCAGAGGTATCCCGGACTGTACGGCTCCGACGATCGGATGCAGGCGTGTATGGCTGAGCTCGGTGTGCCACTCACCAAAGAACTCGGCTTTCACCAGGTTAGTGAAACCTAAAACCCTTCAATTCTCGTCGATATTTCTTTCTAGGGTTGTACATTGTGCAAAATTAGTTGTGCTTTTCATCTAATAATCTCCAAAGATTGTTCTAATAGATCAATGGGGTAAACCCCATCTCCAGAATGCTATCGAATTGCATAATTATGTTGTAACTTGTAAGTAATGCTTGCTTGGTTGCACCTAAAATGGTCGAGAACAAAATTTTCTTGGTTGTTGCAACTTGCAAGTGGTCTATTAGTTTATTACTTTCCAAATTGCAAACATTTTGTATTTATGATTGCAACGTCTCCCTTTTCTGCTAATTTCCAAGTTAAAGTTACATTTTTACCTTGATCTTGAAGAAATTCTTTGTTTTATTACCATTAAAAGTCATTCTAGATGTTAAACCTATAAGAAAAAACATTTTATCATTATTAACAACTCCAGTAAAGAACAGGATCTATTTATCTAAGCATTACAGCCTTTGTTTAAAAGATGATGATAGGATTCTTATTATATTCTTTATAAATTTAGTGGGACACACAATGAAGAAATATATGTCTCCATTTATTATGTGAAGAAAACTAGACATAAAATGGAAAAATGTCACTTTTATGATATATGTCTTTTGCTAGAATTTAACCATATCAATGTGACAATGTCCATAAGTGTACACCAACAAAATGTACTAAAATCTACCTCTTTTACTACATTCTTCCTCATTTTCTTTTTGCAATTTCTGTAAACCAGAATTAAATTGTGTTATAATCACAAAATTCACCCATTATTCCTTTCTTTTGTCAAAAAGCTTTCTTCATTTATAGTGGATGTGGTGATATTAAGCTTACAACACAGGCAAGGGAATGTAGATGTAGATAGTAGTCATAGTACTAGTAGGATTCTTTGTAGTCCAACAAGATTTGTCTCTTTTGTCCTTGTCAACATTATTTTGTGGTAGTGAAAAAAAAACCTTCATTCACTTTTCTTGAATTTCCATTTATAATTTCAGAGCAATAATTGGTGCACATGCTAACCTCCAAAATCCAACATTATTGATATGTACTATTCTCATTAGCCTTATTGTATACTATCTTTTCACTTCTCAAGATTTTTTGGTGTAAAGTTTGCTACTTTAATACAGGAATGGGTCACCCTTATAGTTAAAAAGCATGTCTGATATGGGTTTTCTTTCTTTTTTCTTTTTTCTTTTTTTCATTTTCTTTTATTTACAGTATGACGTGTATGGAAACTTATTTGGGCTACTTGCTGCACACCCGGTGACACCAATAGTCTCATTACACCATCTTGATGTTGTGGAACCAATCTTTCCTGAAGTGACACGTGTCGAGGCTCTAAAAAGACTAATGCTTCCAATGAAACTGGATTCAGCTGGACTTATACAACAATCCATTTGTTATGACACTTCAAAAAGTTGGACAGTTTCGGTTTCTTGGGGATTTGCAATTCAAGTTTTTAGAGGAATCATGTCCCCACGTGAAGTCGAAATGCCTTCTAGAACTTTCTTGAATTGGTATCGAAGAGCGGATTATACCGCGTACGCGTTCAATACGCGTCCGGTTGCTAGAAACCCGTGTCAGAAACCGTTTGTGTTTTATATGACAAAAGTGCGGTTGAATTCGACTACGAATGAGACTGTGAGTGAATACACGCGACATCGTGTCCCTCATCCTCCTTGCAAATGGAAGATGTTGGATCCTTCGATTCTTGATAAAGTTGTTGTTTATAAAAGACCGGATCCGCAATTATGGGATAGGGTAAGTAACCAAAGGGTTGTTTCTTTTTGGGAAATCTCTCAGTTTATGGTTTAATTCCTAAATTTTGTTTTTTGAACAGACTAGTCTCGATTATTTTATCATTTGCCCAAATTAACGAAAACGACAGATTATCGTATAAAACTAGATAATCGGGACTTTTCTGTTTAAAAAATAAATATTGGGATTAAATCGTAAACTGACCGAAAATATTGGGACTTTATCGGAGATTTCCGTTTCTTTTTTACTTAATCTGAACAGAATGACTTAATGGGTTAAGCCAAAAACCCTGGCGTAATGTATTTAGACACTAAACAATCATTTGTTATTTATCATATTTTACACACAAGGATAAAATGGTCATTTACTAGAGTAAAGAAAAAAGAAAAAGTATTTATGTATACAACACTTTATCCGATGGTCATTTAGTCAGATTCAGACGGTTTATTCAGTCAAGAAAGAAACGGTTTTTTTATGTATCTAGACATTTACCATCCATATATGACTTATTAAGAAAAAGAAGAAATAAATCCTAAGCCAATGTTGTTTTATATAAATGTATTTGATTTTTATATAATGTTTAATTTTTTGCAGTCTCCGAGGAGAAATTGTTGTAGGGTTTTGGAGTCGAAGAGGAAAGGGTTGGTTGTGGATGTTGGGTTATGTGGTGAAGGGGAGATAAGTGAAGTAGAATAACAAAAGCAAAAACCCATGGAAAGAACAAAAAAAAGGGTTACTTTTGTTCTTGTCTTGTTTTCTTGTAAGGTACTTTCTTTTTTATTTCTTTATGTTTATTTTTAGCATAATTTCTTAATTTTTCAATGCATTTAGCTTATTATCGTATATGAGTTCTTTGTTCTTCTCAAGTTCGCTGACACAATAGATTAGGAATTATGTCAATGTATAAACTTTTGTCGCTTACACGCAATAAAACACGATTATTGAGTGCATATTAGTGTTCTTAATTAATCTTCATTTTTACACCCATGTCTTGGCTAAAATAATGCATGTGTTTTTTCGCTTGAAATTTGACTGTAAGTAATGATACTTTTTGAAAGACTCATATGCTAATTTTTTGGTGGTTGTATCATTTGAAAAGTATGTGTGTATATAGTTACAAGTGGAATAAAAAAAATATTAATTATTTGCTTAATGATGATTAGAATTTAGAAACAAATGGAAGATGAAATCAAATATATAATAATGTGACCGACACAAATAATTGGAAACATTGTGGTTTGGGGTTGGTGACGAATTATTATTTTATTGAAAAGTGGGTCACCCTTTGTTCCGTTATGGTCAATTCTCAAAGATATAGGAAAAAACAAGATCTCTTGTTTTTATTTAAATATGTAACATATTTTATTTGTTTTTTAACATTGAAATTTATGACCTTTGTCTTCGAATCTAATCTAAGGGAGGGTTTATTATTATTATTATTTTTTTTTATTCTCCTAATACTAATTCATTATTTTATGAGAGTTTTTAAGGTCGACATCTAACATATGATTCTTATTAACTTTGTAAGAAGTTGTTATTAACTTTGTAAGGTGTTGTTAACTTTGTAAAAAGATGATCATAAAATCTGAAGATTCTATCAAAATGAAATAGTTACAAGTCAAAAGTGAAAAATATACATAGCTATTGATTAGAATACAAGTTATAAAATATTTAATAAGAACTAGAAAGGTTACCCCCGCTACGCGGGGCCAGAAGCTTTCAATGTTGTTTCCGAATTGATAAATATGACAGACATAAAAAATGCAAGGATGAAAAGTCCGGGCTTTGCCCCGGACAAAAAATGTAAAAGTTTTGACTGCAAGGACCAGAAGTGTGAAAATGGCTAAAGAATTAAAGGGGTAGGAATTAGCAACTTTTTAGAAAAGGGATCAAAGTTGTCAAACCGTTAAAGTTTTGTGGCCAAACTTTAAATATTAAAAGGTTCCAAAAAAGTGTAAAAATATTGATTGCAAGGACCAAAAATGTCAAAATGGGTAAAGAATAATGACCAAAGTTGCCAAAAAAACATCCAAATTTAGTATTCCTAACTTCGAACAATAATACAGGGACCAATTCTGCCAAAAAAATGGAAAGTTGAATGGAACACAAACAAAATGACATGAATAAATTAATTAAAGTACATGGACCGGATATGATATGTAAATCAAGGGACCAAACCTGGACAAAGTATGCCAACTTCACTATTCCTTTCTTCCACAACTTTATATATATATATAATATATATATATATATATATATATATATATATATATATATATATATAATGACAGGTTTTAAACTGTATCACAAAAAAGCATATGATTATCATAAAAGTGAGAATCAAGAACATAAAACTTGAAGAACAAAACTGTATCGTAAAGGAACGAACCTTAAGACTTCAAGAGTTGCAAGGCTTGGTGTGATGTGTTGATTTTGAGTTTAATGATTGTAGTTGGAGGCCCACCATGGCTTCGCGTGATGCATTGTGTTACAGGTGCTGTTTGATTTTCTGAAGCAAAAATTCATGAAGTCTACGGACCACCTCTGCAACCCTCTGCAGTAGAAGAGGTGGACCAAACGGCTCCAGAGTGTAATAAGAAGCGTGTTTGTTTTTTTAACATCTGCATACTGCTGCAGATATTAAAAAATTAAAATAAACTAATTTTATAAACCGAAAATAGTTTTTTAATACGTAAAATTTAATAATGTATAACATTTCGGCAACAATTAATGATATTTCAGTAAAAAATAATGATATTTCAACAAAAAATAAAAATATTTTAGTAAAAAATAATGATATTTCATTAATAAATTATCATTATTGAATATAAAAAAACGAAAAAAAAAATTCAACAAGAATAAACAAAAAAAACGAAAAAAAAAGGTGAAATAAAATTTCAACAACATATAATCAAAATTACAGCAAGAAAAAAAAGAAGAAGAAGAGGTTGGAAGAGGTTGGAAGAGGCAGTACAAGTGCTGCGCTAAACAGAGCACGCGCCGAGGTTTTTGACTCCGAAGACTTATAAAAAACAAACAACTGCGAGATGAAAAGTGTTGCGCGTGTGCTGCGCCGCGCAACAATAAAAGGCTTGAAGATGTTTTTTCCAAAAAACAAACAGCACCATAGTATTTTTTTAATTTGATTTAGGTTTATACTGATAAACCGTTGAATTAAAGTGAAAGAGGGAGATTAGATTGTAGTAACGTCTTAGGATCCTAATATAGATGATACAATATTAGTAGAGATCTTGCTTCAAACTAGATCTAACTTAGATCATGATCGAGATCGAGATCTTAACAACATGAATTTTTATAAATAATCATTCAAAAATATATTATCTATTTTTCCGAATAATCATTTATCCCGTTATGATGATTACAAACAACTGTATTGGGCTGGAAACCTACGTTAGGAAGTTTCCTTTCCAAAGACAGTTGTATTGTCTAATGCTTAAATTTAACATGATCGTTCAAATCATATAGAAATTCTCTAATCAACTAAAAAGTCTGAGTTAATGTCATGTGTGGCTTGGGGTTTGTGAAGTATAGGAAGGTAATACCATGTTAGTAACTAACATATTTCAACAATATGTTTTAGGTACTTGGGGTTTGTGAAGTATAGGAAGATGACGTAAATGATGATGCCCAATATTGTAAATACATGATTATACTATAATTAGACGACAACATCACTTTTGTTAGACAAGAAGGTACCAATGAAACTAAAAGAAAAAATCTATTGGATAACAATTAGATTAGTTATGTTGTATGTATCCGAATGTTGGCTGATAAAAAATGTGTATAAGAGGAAGATGGAGGTTAGGAAAATAAGGATGTCATGGCGAACTTACAACAAATCAATATTGGACCGAATTTTCAATATTGTAATCAGAATTGGTTAGGAGTGGTGTCGATCACAAGCGAAGCAATATAATGTTGATTTGGTGATGCATAACATATTGATGACTTATAACATTTTTATGGATATATGCGAGTTGAAAAACATGGCTAAAAGAAGCCCTTCAAACGAGGATAACTTTTGATTTGACAGGAGTTTTGAGACCCATTTTGTATGGATATAAAACTCTCATTGGGCCAAAACCAACAAACAATGGAAGGTGCGTTGTCTACCGACCTTTACCAAATGTCATTATTTTGGTATTCAATGGTTAGCTTCCTAACTTTAGTCCATTTCGAATTTTAAAATATTCTTTTAATTGTAAATTCAACATTTTCCTTGATTTCCAAAAAGCACATGATTGTTTAGGCAGTTTATTAGATGATTTGACCATCCATTTTAATTTTTTGAAATTTGGTCATTCTATGAATTTAACGCCACTATATAAATGGTCGAATGTAGACCTTTATAATGACATTTTTAGGATATCTTGAACATCCTATTGTTTGTTACCTCCATTACGCGTAGTTGGTATCAAAGTTTATTAGCATCAGGATGATATATATCACTAAACAACTCGAAGAACTGTGTTGTGATCGTAACCGGTTAAAAGACCGTGAAAATCACAAAGTTGGCAATCATGATGGCAATAAATGACACCATGGAAACAACCCGGTGGCAGGGGCGGACACAGGATTTTACAGTAGGGGTTGCACGGGAAAGTTAGGGGTTGCACGATAATAGAAAAAATAAAAATTTTAAACAATTTCAAAATTTTTTCCACTACGACCAGAAAAGTTAGGGGTCGCCGGTGCCCCCTAAATCCGCCCCTGCATGGTGGCGATATTGCGTAGAAGGTTGACCCATATGAATGATTTCTCTAATGAAGAGGAGGATAAATCTTTTGCTGCCGGATAAAACAACTGAGCTACATGATTGGAGAACCCAACAATATATTTATAAGCCTTTATTTTATTGCAAAACAATTGGTTTTATCTAAAAACTATACTACTGTCACACTCCGGGCCGGCGGCGGAAACACCGGACGGCATAACGTTAGAACGTTGGATCACAAATTATTGAACAATACAAAACAATATAAAACATAAATATCACTTTCATTATGGATAAAATATTACATCAAAATATGTTTCTGTAATACTAGAATTTCTAATACAAAAGATGCATTGACAGTTAGGCATAACTATGACGATAATAGGTCTTCAGTAGCTTCATCGATCAACCACTGCTTCCGGAGGTGCAATCTTCTCGGTTTCCTAGGAATACATGTGGTTTTGAAAGATCAGCACGATGTTGGAGAGTTCACAGGTTTTGTATATTATACTTTGAAAATACTTTTTGTATATAACATTGTCATGTTGTAAAAGTATTTGATTCTTTAAAAATAGTGTTCTACTATTCATAGGTACTAGGGTTTCTGTAATTCTCATTCATCTTATGTACTATTAGTTTGGATACGGTCCAACCTTTTCTAATATAACTATATAATTATGACATGAATGGAGTCCCAATACTTTATTATATAATTATAATGTAACATCCAAAAATTTCACAAAAGTTTAAACTTTTAAAACAATCCCAAATCATGACTTGTTTACAAAAATAGTTTTCCAAAACATGTCTATTATCAAAGTTTTCCCAAAATCACAAGTAAAACATGAGGAGGTGCACGATCAAGCCTTCGTCTTCCCGCGATCATCTGAGGTACCTCAAACATAACCCAAAACTGTAAGCCCAAAGCTTAGTGAGTTTCCCCTAAAACACCAACACAACACAAAACCAGAATAATAACAATAAACAGCATGCATACAGAGCCTTCCGCCTGAATGGAAAGCCTCACTGGCCTACAGACTATCTGGATCACTCACAGAAGCTTCAACATGATTGGACCGCCTCACCGGGCCTTCAACCTATCTGGACCGTTCTCCGGGCCTTCGACCTGACTGGTACGCCCCACTAGCCTTCAATCTATCCGGGCCGCCTTGGGTCTGTTGGCCTTCAGCATAAAGCAG